TTGAATGTTATTTTATTTAGACAAAGTCTAAAACCCTCATGGTACCAAGGATTTGTTTGTGTAACATTGATAGTTCATTAGTACTTTCAAGTGCACGGATCTGTTGCCAGGAGGATGGCTTCCCACAAATCAGGCTGGAACTTTTTTTATATTGCTCATGAATAAGAATCAAGATACCTCTCATAGGTGAAGTGTAACTAATTTGGAGGGAGTATAGGGTCACTGTGAATTAGAATTGACTTGACAGCAACAGGTTTTTTTTTTTTTTTTCCATAGATTATTTGACATGGTTGAGGTGAATCTTTCCACAAAAGAGTATGATCACAGAGTCATGCTCAAATTCACATCAATCTTACTTGCTTTTATTTTGTTACTTTGGCTAAAAATACATTTGTGACCTCTATACTGTAAAAGAACAAAAAGAATCATGGTCAAGTTACATCACTGGTTTTATATACTCTGGAAAGTCCTACTTTATTATGGAGCTTTACAAAATTATTTCTCCTTGGGAAAGTTGTGGAAAGTACACGCTACCTCTCATCCCATTCCTTCCACCTACACCATGATATTGAAATTCACCCCAATAAGAAAATGTGGTAGTTCTTGTACCCTCAGCATAGAGCGTGATGAAAGAATTTGTAATTGTTATACATTGTGTTTACTTGTCTAGGCTGAAGTCTTTGAGAGCAAAGACTTAACCTTTTTCATCTCTGTAGCTTGTGGAGCTAGATCAACAGTCTGTGCCGGGAACATTTTGTGAGATGAGAAAATATGGAAAACCTTTAGACAGAACCAGTAGCACAGAATCTTGAAGTTCAGGTTCATTTAGCAAGTTGCTATTTAATGCTTCTCTTGTTCTTTTTTCTTAGTGGTTCCTAAAAGCAATTTTACTTTTCTCAGTGTTAATATGACCATATTTCTTATCATACCTTATCCACTTTAGTAATATAATTCTCAGCTTTTATCCATGATGCTAACACTTAACCTTTTCTAATATCCTTAAAGTTGTGGGTTCTCATTTCTCTGCTCAAGTGGGTTTTGACTTAAATTTTCAGACTTAGATTAAATATTTAAGTCTATATACTACTCAATTCTTAGCTGCTAACCAAAAGGTCAGAGGTTCAAACCCACTAGTGGCTTTGTGGGAGAAAAGATTTGGTGATCTGCTCCCATAAAGATTACAGCCTAGGAAACACTATAGGTCAGTTCTACTCTGTCCTAAAGGGTTGCTATGAGTCAGAATTGATTTGATGGCACACAACAATAACAGCAATATACTACTATGGTAGTTTTTCACAAATAACATGCCCATGTAAATAACATGCTCACATATACAATGCGTGGGAATGATGAAATTAAAAGTGTGCCCATGCATATACTGCCCATGTCTCATGACATTTCCAGAAGTGAATTTTGGCCTCATTTACCCTTCCTCCAATATTATAAGTAAATTATATAGTTCTGTCCACTTTGTTTCATTCTGCTCATTTTAAAAAATCTCCTGCTTATGTGTATGAAAATAGCCCAACCATGTTACTTTTGTTCTTCTCCATGCATTTATACTCTTGGTTTGGACACTGGCATCCTCACTGCTCCATTTATGAGAATGATAACTTATCAGAAAATCACAAAAGTTAAATTTTGTGTACTATTTTTGCTCCACCAGTCAATACTTTTGGCTTAAATTTCAAGATATAAAATCAATACGTACCTTAGTGACGTTTCTATGTGATCAAAAATACAAATTCAAGTCAGGAACAAATAAAAAAAAGCAGAACAAAACTGGAATAGCGCTCTTAGAAAGATGTATGGAGGTGGAGTGGGGTGGGTTGTGTGGTCGTATATGTATAATGCATGCATTATTTACCAAAACATATGGCATTCATGAGAAAGTGAGAAACATTTCCCTAGAAAAGTTAAAAGAACTACCTCCTGGCCTAATGGTTTAAAAAGGAGGTGAAGGATTTTAAACTTCAAATGAGGGAGGAACTAGTTAGAAAAGTTGCATATACAAATAACATTGTCCTAGCAAATCATACACTGAGAAAGAGAGAGGCCATGCTCTCACTGTAGATATTCATTGCACATTTAAATATTTAGAATTTTCAGTAGCCTGTGAATACAAGGAAATTTATTACATTAAGGTAGACTTTAGATATTTGACATGTAGCTGATATTTTCATAGTGTGAGAAATATCAAGCTGACATTATGCTGTCTCTGTGATGATTACTTCCAAATGTCAGAGTACGGAAACGTATTCATGGGACTTCAGTGCCTTAAGATAGTGTCAATTTAAAAGACATTCACATCGACTTCTTTTTTATTTAAACATGCTAAATGAAGTATGAAAAGCAGGTTGAGAAATCCAGGGAGAAAGGAAGAGCAAAGAAGAAACCTATTGACAAGAAAATTTTAAATAATAGATTGATGTACTCTTACATCAATTTCCACGGACCTCTTGCTGACAGCAAGTTTCAATGACTGTCTCCTAATATTTTTGACAGCTTGCTGTTCATATTATTTCACTCATTCATTGAGAGGCCTAACACATCACCTAAATTGAAATTGGGAAACTAAAATTAAGATAAAAACTATTTGATTTTTTTGTAATTATCTTTAATAAATAAATTACCAAATGAATATTTCTTAGCACTTCTAATAGTAACATTGAACTTCAAACTGAAATCAAGTGACTTAATATTTTAAATTAAAAATTTACTCTTTTGTTCACCAATCTCTTTAATAGTTAATTATGAACCACTGAACTGCTGCTGTTTTGGAAATAACTCAAAGAAGGTTTTTTTTTTTTTTTCTCCCCTTAAACAAATTGGCCACATCAGAGATAATTATGAGTTTAAATAAACCTTTGTCTTTTCCAATTATGTGCACAGCAGCCCTTCTAATTACTTGGGGTCACTGAAATCCCATGGCATCCTCTGAAAAGCATTTTCTCTGCAATCTATCTTGTTAGGTTTCCTTTCTGCTCTCAGAAGCCAGTATCTTTTCCTTTTCAACCCTTTTCAGGAATCATGAGGACTGAGAGTCTTAAAAAATCAGCCAAGTTCTTTCTGACTTCTATAGGTCAACGACACTGTGTAGCCACCAAAATTCCCCCATTTATCTTTCTGATACAAACAAAAGTTGTAGGACCTCTGTGAACTAGACCAACTACTTTTGGGGGTTGTAAAATTTTAAATTGTTACTCTGAAAACAAAGGATGAGCCAGACAAGGTGAGAAGCAGAACAAACATAGAGGAGGGCTATTACCTTGTTCACTAAATCAAAGCTGAAATAGAATGACTTGTTAATTTTGTTACCCTACAGGTGTTAAAGGAGCTCTGCTGGCCTGGTGTTTAAAGCATTCAGGTTGTAGCTAGCGACCTGAAAGGTCAGCCTGTTTGAACCCATCAGCTGCTCTGCGGGAAGAAAGATGACCAGAACGGTTTGTAGCCTTGGAAACTGTATAGAGCAGTTATACTCTGTCCTCTATAGGTTGCTGAGTCCGAATCTACACTATGACAAGCTGTTCTTCTTCTTCTTTTTTTTTAGTTGTCATTAGGTGCTGTTGAATTGCCTTTGAATTGTAGCAACCTTATGCATAACAAAAAGAAATGTCGCCCTGTCCAGCACCATGCTCCTAATTGTTGCTGTGTTTGAGCCCATTGTTGCAGCCACTGTGTCAATTCATCTCATGGAGAGTCTCCCTCTTTTTCGCTGACTCTTTACCAATCATGATGTCTTCTTTCAGCGATTGGTGAAAGAAGGCGAGCTGAAGTCTTTTATTTTTATTTTTTTTTTATTGTGATTTGGGTGAAAATTTACAGAGCAAATTCACTTTCCATACAGCAGTTCACATATACTTTGTCTCATGACATTGACCACAATTTACCACAATGCAACAGCTCCTCTCCTACTTCCTCCCGATAGTTACCTCTTCCCTGTGTCCATCCCTCCATAGGCTCCTGCCCCCTGAGCTGTCTCCCTGTGCATAAACACCCCTTCTTTCTCCCATGATTGTTCTCTCCAAGGACTGTATCTACATCAGGTAAATGTTCAACTCATATGCCTGTCTTTTGTTTGGCCGGAAGCCACAGGTGTGGGTTCAGTTCCAGACCTGAAGGGCAGCTAGGGGCCATAGTCTCAGTGGTTCCACCAGGCTCTATCAGACCAGCAGCAAACCTGCCCCCCCCCCCTTTTTTTTCTCCAAATGATTTTGAGTTTTGTTCTATATTGTTCTCCCTCTCTATCAAGGATCTCCTACATAGATCCCCTTCCAAGTGGTTGACAGTGGTAGCCAGGCACCATCTAGTTCTTCTGGTCTCATAGCCAGTCATATAGGCTGCAGATCGGATGGTGTACCAGTCGCTAGGACTAATTGGTTTCCATGAATTTTTGTTTTTCTTCATTCTTCTTTGCTCTGGATGAGGAGAAACCCATTGTTGCATCTTGATGGCAGCTTGCAAGATTTTAAGATCCCAGTCACTACTTGCCAAAATAGGAGGTGGAACAATGTTTTGTGTAGTATGTTATGCCAATTGAGCTTGATGTCCCCTGCAACTATGGTCCCGGGCCCACAGGTTCAACTACTCAGTCCCTCTGGGTAGAGAGCTGAAGTCTTAACCATTCTCGAGTCTAGGGAGCATTCTGGCTGTACGTCCTGTTGTTGTTGTTGTTATGTGTCTTCAAGTCGGCCCCGACTTATAGCGACCCCTCCTTGGGTTTCCGAGGCAGTATCACTACAGAAGTAGATTGCCCCATCTTCCTTCCGAGGAGTGGCTGGTGGGTTTGAACCACCAGGCTTCTGGTTAGCAGTCAAGTGCCTTAGCCACTATGCTACCAGAGCTCCGGTACGTCCTGTAAGACAGATTATTTGTTCTTCTGGCAGTCTGTGGTATATTCAATATTTTTGCCACACCATAATTCAAATGCACCAATTCTTCTTCAGTCTTCTTTATTCACTGTCCAGCTTTCATATGCACATGAGACAACTGAAAACCTGCTTGACTCAGGAGCACCTTAGTCCTCAAAGTGGAATCTTTGGTTTTATCCTGTTAAAAACCAAAAAACCAAACTCACTGCTGTCTAGTCGTTTCTGACTCATACTGACCCCTCCTTGGGTTTCTGAGGTGATATCTCTATGGAAGTAGATTGCCCAACCTTCCTTCTGAGTTCACCCTGTTAGTATTGCTCAAATTCCTAAAGTTAGGTGGTGGATTCAAGGATGAATATTTCATTATGTAAGAGTCACAATGATTGCACATACATTATTTTGTCTGTTTCAAATATCGCTAAAGAAATATTGACATTCTAGCATTTACATACATAACTGTAGCCCCAAAGACCAAGGATTCCCAAAGTTGCTTTGAGCAGGGTCGCCTCCTGTGAAAGCAGGAGACATATAGAGGAACGCTGACTTTGCTTCCAGGATGTGGGCACACAGCTTCCCTCAAGTCCCAGGGTCTCCCTAGTAATAAACAGCCTTAGGATGCCAAAGCTGGCAGGTCCAACCCACCCCGACCCATTAAGGGAAATGACACCCCGAGAGTCTGGTTACTTGTCCAAGGTCTCAGGGTCAATTACAGCCCGGTATTCTGGGGGTTGTTAATGACCCAGGCCGTGTGTGTCCTTGTTTCCCATAGCCCAGATCACTAATAGCAGTGCCAGGTGGGCTGACCATTATGTCTGTTTTTAAAACTGCAGTGTCACCAGCACTTAATTCAATTCTGAGACTAGCAAGGGCAAACCTTGTCTTTTGGTCACTTTCCTGTAGTTTTCTTCTTCCTCATGGCCAAGTTCTTTTC